GAACAGGCCTCTGAATCTGTTCATTATGATTTTAAATAGTTTTGGGAGAGTGGATACAAAGTTTCTAGTAGCTTTAAAGACTAGCTGCAAAGCCTGCTATAAGTCACTGTTATGTACAACTTCCGACATACCTTCTTTAAACAGTTTTACTTTAAAATTAAATATGTTATAATACATATGTGTATCTTTTAGAAACTATTATTTATTTTAAATGGAAATAAATATCGCTGTTGCTTGCGCAACAGTACCGTTGCTTTAATTTTTTTCTTAAAGTCACTGTAGTGATTTCTGATTGGTTGATTTTTTTTCTTTTATTTAAAGAATGCATGCCCAAACCAAAGCCTTTAATTGATGTATGTACACTCACTGTGTCTATCCCTAAATCAGTGGGTGTATGTACACTCACTGCATTTATCCCTAAATCAGCGGATGTATGCACCACACTCACTACGCCTATCCCTAAATCAGTGGATGTATGTACACTCACTACGCCTATATCAGTTGATGTTTGTAAATAATAAACATCAATGTAACTTTCAATATTCAACAATAATAACTTTCAATAAAGAAATTGTTAAAAAACATTTAAAAATATTATTCTGGATGTAGGATTTGATCCCAGATCACTGTGAGAAATTAACAAATGAGATACCACAATTGTAAACACACAATTTATATTTATTCATTATATTTAAAAGAATATAATTTATAATTTATATTCTTTTAAATATAATGAATAAATATAAATGTAAACAATAATTTGTTTTGTTTAAACCATTCTCTAATTGAAAAACAATTGAATATATACTAAAAGATCCATTTCAAGATTTTTTATTATTTAAGATACTGTGTCTCAAAAAATTATCCGACCAAACATTTTTTCAAATATTTTTCCTAAAAAAAGTGCTGTATTTTTATAAATTTAGATTTTTTTGGTAAACTCAAGATTAATAAAAATAAAAGATGTTTTTAAATAAATTTTATTTATTTTAGTTTAAAATATGAATCACCAAGTTTTCAGTCTTAAAATAAAGGAACTTAGGTTGTTTTTTTATTGTCAAAAAAATATGCGACCAAACACATTTTTTGTTTCATAATAAATTAATAAATAGCAAAACAATTATTTTAATACTTTGTTTAGCCTCCCTTTGCTCGGATTACAGCTTGAAGATGTCTAGGCATTGATTCGACTAAAGATTTTGTTTTTTCTGGTTGAATCTTTTCCCAGGCTTTTTTAATTGCCACTTTGAGGTTATCTTTTTTGGAAAATGACCAATTTTTCGGTTTAAAATTTCCTACAAATCTTTTTTTTCTAATAAATTATTTCTGCTATGGTGTGTTTGATAATTGGAAAATAGGGTTCGTTAAAAATTCTGCTATCTTTATGATGAGCACAAAAAGTTAAAATGTTTGTATTTTTACATGCAAACATGGCAAACATTTTTAGTTGGTTTTAATGGTCTTATATGCTATTAATCTGAGATCAACACAATGAGTTAGAAAAATTTACAAGCATTTCAAAATGGCTGAAAATTTGACTTTTTAAGCAAATGGGCAATATATTTTTATGTGTATATAAGTTCTAAACAGCAACTGGTTGCTTATATTTTGCCCATTTATTGCAGCCAATAGCAGCTAAACCAAAGACTTGCTGACAAAAATGAAAAATACTACTGTTACCTTAATTTTGGTGTTTCTTAGCCATTTTCAGATTTTTATGTTGAAGAAGTTAAATTTTTTTTCTTATATAATACAAGTTAATAAAAACCACTATTTTTAAGACAGTACTATCCAGTAAATAATTCTTGAAAAAATTAGACACTTGTTAAAAGTTAGAAAAAAGTTATAAGGCTTTCGATTAATCTATTTTTGTAATTTGTAAATTGGGGGGGGGGGGGCTGGCACCGTGTAGTGTTTTTAAGGCTAAAATTTCTAAACCGTTGCACTTGGAAGTCTAAAATTTAACTCTAAATAATGCTGATAATGATATGTAAAAATCAGAAAAATCAGGGATGGTGCCCCACAAAGTTTTCTTTAAATTGGCTGAAACAATGATTTGACCCTGTTATCATTGTTATTATTGTTATTATTACTACTTCCATACTTATTATTAATTCTATTTCTTTACTATTATATTATTTTATAATATTTTACAAAAAATCATATTCATTGAGGCTATCTGAATTTTAGAATTCTTTTTTTTTTGTTAGATTAAAACAAATAAGTTATCAGTTAAAAGTTTATTTATCAAATAGCTGTGCTACAAAAATAGAAGGTTAAGTAATAAAAAATAAGACATTAGACAGCAAAGCAATTTAATATTTTTTACTTAAATTTAGTAAATTCATTATATTATTTTAATTGTTCATCACACTGAATGGCTTGGCTCTATTGTCAGTGACTAAGAGTGGCGTTAAGGCCCACAACTTTTGTCTTTCCCAATCTCGCACTATCTAACACAAATAATTAACTTTCCTACTCGCTTTCAAGACAACCCAAATTATTTAACTTTTCTACTTGACTTATGTTTTGTTTCTGATCCTAGTCAGTGCTCAGTTTCTCCACATTCGCCCTTAGGGGCCATCCATAAAGGATGTCACCAATTTTCAGCCAATTTTTGACCCCCTTTCCGACCTTTGTCACCGGTTGTCCTTTTTCCCTATATCCCCCTTGAAAAGGACGTTATAAAATCCTAACCCCCTCCCCCCATATTTTTAATCCCAAAAAATTTATTTCATTTCGCAAAGTTGTTTGAATCTGCTGCTACACCTTTGAAAAATAAAATTAAAAATATTCTCATACATTATCTTATTAAAAACACATGTTAACATAATTTTTCATGTTAAATAAACTAAAATAAAAAACCTATAAAGTGATGCCTTTTCTGACTTCCTCCCCCCCCTCCCTTTGTCCTTTTTTGTCCTTTTTATCTCGACCCCTCCCCCCCTTTTTTCCCTCTTGATAATTCCAAGTCTAGCCTCACTTTTCTCCTTGGTTTTTCTCTCGTTATACTTCTGCAATTTCCAATTGTAATCATTACTTTCATATTTATCAGCAAAATAATTCTCCAGAAAACAGATGCCTGTTTACTATTGCTAGAAACCATTGTAAAAAGGTTTTGTTTAACGCCAAAGCCCGCTATCCACAAGATAAAATCCCTATACTTTTTTTAATCTACATTAACGATCTCCCAGAAATTCTCACATCTGAGGTAGCATTGTTGGCTGATAATACTACCATTTATTTTTGTCTTGATAAAAAGCCAACACTCTCTGATTGTTTAGAGGGGGGATTTGAGCTTGAAAAGGATCTCACCTCTGCTTCAACATGGGGCTCTCAGTGGCTGGTGAATTTTAACTCAAAACTTAATTTTTTCAGCTAATCATTATCACAGTAATCTAGATCTTCCTATATTTATGAACGGTAATGTACTAGATGAGTCACCTATCCTTTATCTTCTAAAATTAACTCTTACTTCCGATCTTTCTTGGAAACCATATATCAAATCAATTGCAAAATTAGTATCTGCTTAGGTTGCTTCTCTTTATCTTGCTCACTACTTTCTTACTCAGGATTCCATTCTTTATCTCTATAAATCTCAAATCTGTACTTGTATAAAATACTGTTGCCATATCTGGGGCGGATCTTCCAATAATGCCCTTTCTCTTTTAGACAAGGTGCAAAAACACATTTTAAATCATAGTAAGACATGCTCTTGCAGCAAACCTCCAGCCATTATCAGATTGTTGTAATGTTGCTTCTCTTTCTCTTTTCTATAAATACTATAATAAGCACTGCTCTAAAGAGCTAGCATCTCATACGCCATCTACTAAAATTCATTCTTGTATTACTCATCATTCAATTAAGTCTTACGCTTTTACTGTGACTGTTCTTAAATGCTCCAAAAATTCTTATTTGCCTAGTTTTTTTCCACGAACATCAGTTCTTTGGAATTCACTTCCTTCATCTTATGTTCCTGATTAATATAATTTGCTATTATTCAAGTCATCTGTTAATCATTGTCTTGCTCTATAAGCTTCAACTTTTTTTCTCCAGTCACTTCAAACTCTAATAGTGAATGCTTGCAGCTTTGTTGGAAGTGAAGATGTTTTAAAAAAATAAGAGTTCATTATGGTTGCTTTTCTAATTGTTTAATTAAAAAGCTCATACTTTATGGGATAAGATAAAAATTATATTTTGTTATGCAGCCTAAATGATGATAAATTTTAATGATGGTCTTTCCTTTGTGGTAGCTTCTTTAAGTAAGATTACAAATTTTAATAGAAAGAGTAGAATAAGATGGGCATTGTATAATTCTTTTTCTTGTAGTTACCTATTTTCTAGTTTCAGAACTTAAAGTCTCTATTATTCCACCACAACCATCATAAGATTCACTTAAAATAAAATGTAATTATTCATTAAATCATGCATTATGAAAAATGACTAATATACTTTTTCTGGCTTGTATTAACAGCTAACTTAACAAAATATTGATCTCTCTGTCTGAAGGGCAATGACCATATGCTCCATTTTCTTGTTGTCTTAATCATATAGTCCTTATCAAAATGTAAAATGAAAGAAGTTTGAATAGACAAAACTTCCTTAAGTTTAATTTGATTTATGACTTACAACCTTTTAACAGCTTTAAAAACAGCTTTAATAATTTTAATAGATTGTGAAGTGGGAATATCTTCATGGAAATAACTTAATAAGTGAGTTTTAATAAGACCTTAGGTCCTTTGTAGGTAGGAATTTGTAGGTAGGAATTTGTAGGTAGGAATTTGTAGGTAGGAATTTGTAGGTAGGAATTCCAGCTTCAGTGTGAATGATGGTAAGACTTTCTCTATTTTTAAAATGATGCTAAAAGTTTACACTCTTGTACCTTTCATTGTAAAAATATTTTTTTTTTTTTGCTAAGTAACAGCAATGTGCCTGCAAAATCCATTAACAGCTAAAATTGCATGCAAGGGAGATAAAGTTTTTTTTTACTTTATTTATAGAATGTACCAATGGACTACCAGTATTTCTTTTTCAGACCTAAAGGTATTCAGTTACTATTTTATCAATAAAAATTATGAAAGATAACTAGTACTCAATTATTAAGTACTAAATTCTGTATTATTTTTTTTTAAATTAAACTGTATTTATTGAACTTTTTATGTTTTCAAAATCTTTATTGTTATTTTAAGTAACTAAAATCTTTGTGCGTATATATATATATATATATATATATATATATATATATATATATATATATATATATATATATATATATATATATATAATATATATATATATATATATATATATATATATATATATATATATATATATATATATATATGTATATATATATATATGTATATATATATATATATATATATATATATATATATATACATATATATATATATATATATATATATATATATATATATATATATATATATATATATATATATATATATATATATCAAGCCTTGTTTTAAATAACAAATGCTTAACGCATTAGCTAAATGCGAATTTGACGTCATAAAATTCTATTTATCTTTTTATTTTTTAAAGACATTTTTCAAATTACTACAATAATATTAAGATTACTGCAAAACGAGTTGAATATTGTTTAACTTGCTTTTTATTAATACTATTACAAAATGTTTATTTTTTTCATTTTTTTATGTTAAATAATAAATTTTATTTACATTAAAAAAAATTTTTATATAAAAAATCGATTTCTCTACATTTGTATAAATGAATTAAATATGTTAATTTTTTTTAAAATCTTTAAAAATGTTAATTTTTTTTTAAATTTATTAAAAGTTCATTTTAATAAATTTAAAAATTCATTTCGTTTTGAAACACCATTTGTTAAAATTATATCTTATATATTATGTATCAAAAAATAATTGCTGCGCTCTACTTGCGTTATAAAAATGGTTTAACTTACGTTTAGCCTCGGAACACATTTATTTAATATTTAATTTTGAGTAAAAAAAAAAATGTTTAGGAAAGAAAATCGAAATAACCAATGCCAGCTAATTTTTTTTTAAGAATAAATAAAATTTAACAATATTTAATATCATCTTTAATTAAATTTAACATTTAAATTAAACCCAAGCATTAACTTTAATTTTATATATTTAAATTGAAATTGAATTTATTAGTTTTGAATTTAAATCATTATTTTTTTATCAGAATTAAATTACATTTTATGATCTTTGCTTCAAGCTTAAAGTATTAGCGTTTTTCAAGCGAAAAAATCGATCATTGCAATAAAAAAAAATTAAATTATTTATTACTATAAAGAGATTTTTTTAATGCAATCAAAAGTTGCATAAATATTACTGTTCTCTCAAGATGATAAATAAAAGTTTTTATTATTGATATTTCCTTTATGTTTTTTTTTTGTTTAATAATTTCACATTAAAAAAAAACTATAATTCAATGAAATAATTAGCTTAATAGAAAATAAATTTTTGCAGTTTTTAATTTTTTTCATTCGAAAATAGCGCTTTTAGTTTTTTTCATTAGTAAATAGTGCTTATATCTTACATAATTGTCATTAAAACTTTTTTACAAAATCGTCAAAATTTTTATAAAATTAATTACTTCTTTTATCTTACCGCTTAGTAGAGTAATTTAAAAGTTAAAAAAATATAAGTTTAATGCTTTAAAACAAGGCCTGATATATATATATATATATATATATATATATATATATATATATATATATATATATATATATATATATATATATATATTACTTTAATTTTAATTTATGCGGTATAAGTTCAAATTGAAAATGATTTCTTTTATTGAAAGCTAAATCCACCTTTTTTTTTTTAAATTCCAGTTGAATTTTATCATATTATACGCTTAATCGTACCCTTGTTAAGTCAAACCATCCGCTAACTTGATTATTTTTTTTAAGGTCCATTTGACAAAAAACTTCGCTTTACTAGAACTTTTACTTTGGCATAAAAGTCCAAATAAAATATCAAAACTTTCAACACTTCAATGACAATTCCAAACTTGAATGTTAAAAAATTAAACATCTAGCGTAATATTAATTCTTATAAATAACAGGGATTATCTTTTTCCGGATATTCCCGGAATTCCGGATATTTTTCAAGATTATTAGTTTTTCCAGATATCCAAAAGGTTTTCTATACATACAAGTTTAAGTATATATTTGTGTAATATATTTGATTTTTAAGGTTTTTTAGTCATCACTCATACACAAATTAAAGAAATTCTCAAAAAAATTGAGATACAACTCATCTAAAAGAAAATTAAGAGGATAATAAGGGGAAAAAAATTCCGGATTTTTCCGGATATTTTAAGCGAATAATTTTCCGGATTTTTTAAATATGACCTGGATCATCTATGAAATAAATATATAGCGTAATAAGTTTATCAAACTAAAACTTAACTTAAAGCTTCGATTTTGTACAGGTTCAATCACATTCTTTTAATTAATGACTATTATATTTAAAATTCTAAAACATCAAAACGTTGGTAAATGAAATATTTTTTCAAAAATAAGTTAACATAAAACTTAATATTTATCTTCGAATCAGTTAAGCTTATATTAAAGTCTATTTATTAAAAAAAGTTAACGCTAAACGCAAGTTAAAATTAAAAAAGATATAGTTTCAATAAAAAATACGTATAGCAAATATATTTGTTATATAACATTGAATTGCAACTTTTAAAAGCGTAATCACAAACAAAAACAAAAACAAAGTTATGTTACTAGTTTCACAAGCGCATTTCTCAAAATACAAAATATTTGTCAGTATTTAAGTTATATATTATAATGGTATAAGTATATATATATATATATACTTACAATAATATATATATATATATATATATATATATATATATATATATATATATATATATATATATATATATATACATATATATATATATATATATATATATATATATATATATATATATATATATATATATATATATATATATATATATATATATATATATATATATATATATATATATATATATATATATATATATACAGTGGTTTTCATAAATTTAGACGCACTCCTATTTGAGAATAGAAATTTTTAGTTTTTCAACGATAAAACAATGACGAAAAAAGATTTTGGTTTAGTTTTTTTTCTATTTATTAGATAAATACATACAGAATACAAAATTTAAAAAAAGTTTACAAAAAAAATGAAATACTAAGTAATAATTAGGTACAACTACATGGTATTAAAAAAATTAGACAAAAAAAATTATTCATAAATTTAGACGCACAATACATTAGAAGGCGTAATTTATAAACCAATCAATATTTTGTGTATCCGTCTTTTGCTTTAATACAACTAAGTTGCTTTAATACAACTCTTCTAGGCATAGACTCAACAAAATTTTTGCACATCGTTTCTGGTACCCCATACCAGGTCTCCTTAAGGAATTCCTTCAGCTGAGTAAGTGTGGAAATTTGAACCTTTGCTAATTCACGGTCAATCCAAGCCCAAATCTTTTCAATCGGGTTTAAATCAGGTGAGTATGGAGGCTACGGTATTGTCATGATACTATTATCGTTGAACCACTCCTTTGTATAGTAGGCAGTATGTGCAGTAGCGCCATCTTGTTGAAGTTTCCATGGTTTATTATTGAGCATAAGCAGGTCAATTGATGGAATTAAGTTGTTTTCCAGTACTTCTACGTATATTCTGGAGTTGATTCTTGCGGTGTATGTTTATCACATACCAACACCTTTATAATTGAAGCATAACCAGATTCCTATCGAGCCTCCTCCACTTTGTACAGTCGGTCTAATGTACCTGGAGTAATACTTTTCATGAGCCATTCTTTTGACTGTTATGTTAGATTTGCGATTGATAAGCTCAAAGTTACTCTCATCACTCCACATAATGTTTTCCTATTGTTCTATTGTTCAATACCTTCTTTTACCACACCATTTTAGTCTCCTTTGTTTATCATATGGACGCAGAAGCGGTTTCTTCAAAGCAGTGTAGACTCCAATCTTGTATTTGATAAGTATTCGGCGGACTGTGCTTTGAGAAATAGATGTATTTTGCGTTGTATTGAATTCTGTGGTTGATTCTTTGTAACTAATTCTTGGATTAGCTCTGACAGCTCTAAAATGAACACTATCGTCCTTTCTGGTGGTTGACAAGGGTCTACCTGGCCTCGTTTTCTCGCTGGCACCACCAGTGTGAAGAAAGTTATGTTTTGTTGTCCGAACGCATTTCTCAGAAACTCCAATTAACTTGGCGATTTTTCTATTACTTTTGGTTCCTTCTTTGATGTGCGCAATAATTTGCCATCTTTCACCTTGAGTGATACGTTTTTTGCCCATTTTTCGCGTCTTTTTAGTGCAAAACTAACTTAACTTTTGTTTATTTATTAAATAATGATAAACTAATTCCAGGTAAGTCATATTTATATAAGGTTTTTTGACTAAATCAATTACTTTAGGCCTATTAATGAGAAATATGGGGAAAAAACTACTAATTAACTATCGATTAACAAGATATAAGACTTTTTTGATTGTGCGTCTAAATTTATGAACAAAATAAAATCAAGCTTATCAATTAACTTTTTTGTGTTAATCGGTATAGAATGAGTAATAAACATCCTGTAAAAAAAAAAAAAAAGGTACTCTTTAATAAAGTTTCACTTCCTCTTGTAAATTATATATCAAACATAGCGGTAGTACTTTTATTTTATTTTTATTTTGAGTATTTTCTTACATATATGAAAAAAAAATGAATGCGTCTAAATTTATGAAAGCTACTGTGTATATATATATATATATATATATATATATATATATATATATATATATATATATATAATATATATTAGAGATATGACAATTTCATAACCCTATATGCCCATATGATAATTAGTGGAGGTTTTGTGTACAAATAACAAATGTTTTTTTTTTCCTTAAAATTGTCACAGTCTTGCAAATGTCACAGTCTTGCAGAATTATTCTCCAGAACTTTCTTCAATTCTCTCTAAACTATTTAACAAGTGTTTGACTGAGTCTTGTTTTCCTGCTTGTTGAAAAATGGCATCTGTGGTTCCAATATTCAAAAACTCTGGAGAAAATTCTGACCCCTCCAATTATTGTCCAATCAGTCTTCTTTCTGTTATTAGCAAGGTCTTTGAGCCTTTGATCAACAAATTCCTCACATCTCATCTTGAGTCAAATAAACTACTGTCAGACAATCAATACGGTTTTTGATCCTCTCGCTCTACGGCCGACTTGCTAACTGCTGTAACTGAAAGATTTTATCGTGCATTAGATGGAGGCGGTGAGGCTAGGGCCATTGCTCTCGACATATCTAAAGCTTTCGACAAAGTTTGGCATGCTGGTCTTCTCCATAAGCTTGCTTCATATGGTGTTTTTGGGAAAGTTTTTGAGATTATCAAATCATTTCTTTCTAACCAGTTTATTAAAGTCATCCTTAAAGTCCAACACTCTTCTTTATTTCCAGTAACTTCTGGGGTTCCCCAAGGTTTCATCCTGGGCCCTGTTTTGTTTCTTATCTACATAAACGATCTTCCTGACAACCTTTCATCTAAAGTAGCTCTTTTTGCTGATGACTCAACTTTATACTCCTGTCTTGACAAAAAGTCTTCTCTTTTCGATCGCCTAGAACAAGCAGCTGATCTTGAATCCGATCTCACTTCAGTAATAGATTGGGGTTCACAGTGGCTTGTGAATTTCAACTCTAACAAAACCCAGTTGTTTACTGCAAACAACTACCGTAATATGGTCAGCATTCCTATATTAATGAATGGCAATCCTCTTACTGAGTCCTCCTCTTTACGTCTTCTTGGATTATTGCTTACTACTGACCTTTCATGGAAACCATATATACAATCGATTGCTAAATTAGCTTCTGCTAAGGTTGCTTCTCTTTATTATGCTCGCCATTTCCTTACTTCTGATTCCATTCTCTACCTCTACAAATCTCTTATTTGTCTCTGTATGGAATACTGTTGTCATATTTGGGCTGGTTCTTCTAACGGTTCACTTTCTCTTCTTGACAAGGTCCAAAAACGCATTGTAAATGTTGTTGGACCTGGACTATCTGCTAAGCTTGAGCCTCTTTCCCATTGTCGTAAAGTTGCATCTCTTTCTCTTTTCTACAAATACTATCATGGTCACTGCCCAAAGGAGTTATCATCTCATTACTCGTCATTCAGCTAAGTCTCATTCGTTTACTGTATCTGTCCCTGCATGCTCTAAAAACTTTTATTCATCTAGTTTTTTTCCCCGCACTTCAATCCTTTGGAACTCTCTCCCATCTTCATGTTTTCCTGACTCATATAACCTTCAACTTTTCAAGTCTTCTGTCAACCGTTTCCTTGCTCTATAACTCTGTTCTTTTTTTTCCTAGTAACTCCCAACTTAATAGTGGTTGCTTGCAGCCTTGTTGGGAGTGAATGCAAATAAATAAATAAATAAATAAAAAAAAAAAGTTCATCCTGAAATAAGAAAATATTGTGTCTAAGTATAACATGTAAGTATATTCACATAAAAGTTGCATCATTTTACAATAACATTTGTTATTTTACAATACATCACCAATAAATAAATATACCAGTATTTTTCTAATGCTTATTACTTAAAAGAAATTTAACAATTTAACAACTTTTCAGTCGATCTGCAGAGTAGAAGCAGGTCTTGCATTACTTTAATGGCACACTCAGCACAGATATTTGAACGCTTGGTTGCTATAGGCATAGGCTCCACTGACCAAAATTTCCTCAATGAGTGCAAAGCCTTAGGATACTCTTTACAAGCTTCTGACAAATTATCAAAGTCGACAAGATTGAAGAACTGAGAAGAGAACCAGACTTTTGACTATGAACCACAGATGAAATCACATGCCACTTTTGCTGTTTGTCTAAACTCTGGCATCAGGACAAAACTAAGCAAAACATAAATCGCTCTTGAGTTCCATTTTACATTACTGATAGATGGAAGTGATCAGAAATTTTAAATGCACTTTTGGAAAGTTTCCCAAAAGTGCATTTAAATAAATTTAAAGAAATAGATTTTTCTGTTTCTGTAACTGTAACTGTTTCCGAATCTTTTTCACTACTTTCTTCAATAGATTCTTGTATGACTGACACTCTTCTTTTAAGCATCTTCACTTTTCTTGGATGTATCCCCTGTGTGTCTTTTTTTGTGGTGCAATATCCTACTTTTCCTTTTGTTGAAACCTGCAGTTCATAAAACTCCCTGTCTTCTCTGGACAACCATTCTTGTCTGTTACATTACTAATAAAAATGAAATTTGTTAGATAAAAATAGTTATAGCAACTTAGAGTAACGTACATAGCAAGATCTTGTAACATTTATATTCAGTAAATAGAGAGCTACAAACAATTTAAATGTTAAAATGTTACCCTCCAAACAGACTTTTTTTTGTATTTACTTGTAGGTTATTTGTCTTTATAGAACATGAAATTGCATTATTTCTAATTATATTGAATTTATATATTAGCTAATGTTACAAAGCTCAACATTTGGATAAGGCAGCCTATGTGTAAAATTAAAATCAGTTTAAAGAGTGACTTTTTTTCAAGGTTAAAATTTTTTAATGATATATTCTTGAAAGAAATGATAAAAGTCCACTCATAACAATAGGGACAATAAAAAATTCCAAATAATTTTTTCTAGTCATATATATATATATATATATATATATATATATATATATATATATATATATATATATATATTATGTATATATATATTTATATTATATAAATACATATATATATATATATATATATATATATATATATATATATGTATTTATATAATATAAATATATATATATATATATATATATATATATATGTATTTATATAATATAAATATATATATATATATATATATATATATATATATATATATATATTTATATTTATATATTTATATATATAAATTAGTAGAAAATCACTTAACAAAATTTTTTTAACAAAGACTCATCAGAAATTCCAAATATTTTTTTCTAGTATATAAAAAAATATTTGGAATTAAAATATATAATATATATATATATATATATATATATATATATAATATATATATATATATATATATATATATATATATATATATATATATATATATATATATATATATATGACTAGAAAAAAATATTTGGATTTCTGATGAGTCTTTATTGATGAAACACAGTGTAAAATGAAAAAAAATTTTTGTAAAGTAATTTTCTACTAATTTATATATATATATATATATATATATATATATATATATATATATATATATATATATATATATATATATATATATATATATATATATATATATATATATATATATATATATAATCTTTGAATGTCATTTTCTTGTTATATGTTAAGATATGGTTAGAATTCAATAAATACGGCTGCGTATAAACTTTTTTTAAATATATATATTTTTTCTTGAGTATATAATTATTTCGATATTTCGCTGATCTATTGTGATCAGCGTCATCAGGTAAAAACTAGTTATAAATGCTGATCCTCATCGAAACGCCATTACATTTCAGCGAAATATCAAAATAATTATATATTAAAGAAAAAATATATATATTTAAAAAAAGTTTATACGCAGTCGTATTTATTGAATTCTAACCATATATTTTATATATGTATATATATATATATATATATATATATATATATATATATATATATATATATATATATATATATATATATATATATATATATATATATATATATTGTCTGTATTAATATTGTAAAAAATGTTTTAACTTGACTTTTTTTGCGTATCGATTTTAAAGTTTATAAGTTTTTAAAGTAATTAAATTTGACAATCCTTTCTTTTTTTCAGATTTTTCATTGGAAAATGTTGCTTATGATGAAAAGGTTGATTTTTTTAACATTATAAATTTTTTTACCATACTTTTATTTTATTTTTACTAAAACTTTTTTAATAAGGTCATATTATTTATATGGACCAGATCTGGTCATAATTTGTATCTTGCCAGATACTGGACAACATTAACCATAATTGTCTATGTTTCATTACCATGTATTATATCACCCTGGGTGTATGTGGTGTATAAATTTCCTTTAATCTTTAATAATGCACTGTTTGTGTTAGAAGTTAAAATAATCTTCTAAACTTGGCATACCTAACTCTTGTTTTTGATGCCTTTTATTGCTTCACCAGCTGATTCAATCCTATCTGTAATGTAACAAGCGTATCAACTGTGTAATATTGCTTAATTTAAGTCACCATGTACCTTCTGTCATTTCAAATTTGTTTTTTTTTTTATAATTTTTTTTTTAATTATTTTAAATGACCTTCAGTCATTTAAAATAATTTAATTGAAAAAAAATCTGTGTGTACGCACAGATTTTAATTCAATTGAAAAAAGAAACTTACATCCAAGTAATTTAATTTTTTTTTTGATATCAAAACAATTTTTATAAAATATATAAAATTTAAACTGAAAACTTATTACTAAAAGAAATCGTTTGTGTAATACTACTAAAACAACTCATGTTACATTAAACGAAATTCTAACTGAAAATGTATTTTCAAGTATATGTTTTACCTGATTCTTTGATTGAATAAAATAAAAAAATTGTGCAAACGCGTTATTGATAGTTTTAACCTTACTTGAAAATAATTTATTGTTTGCAACAATATCGCAAATGGTGGGAAAAGATTCGAGAAAATTAATGAAAAATTTAATAAAAAATATAGTTGAAGTAAAACATGTTCTTAGTTACAAACATGTTCTTAGTTACAAACATGTTCTTAGTTACACACAATTTTAAATAATTATAATCTGAGAGCTTCAATCAATAAAGAAAAATAGTTTAACATTTTATATCTCTGCTCATTCAAATCATTTTAAAAACTGCTAATGTAAATTACTTAACAATAATGTTATTAACTCTTCTTTGCAGATACTATTTCAACTAATACTTAATACTAAGAAAAAAATCATTTTATAAAATTACTGATGTTACATAAAACCAGATATATGTATATATATATATATATATATATATATATATATATATATATATATATATATATATATATATATATATTATATATATATATATATATATATATATATATATATATATATATATAAAGCGCAATTAGTAATTTTAAATTTATCTATAAATCATTTATTTATTGCATTTTATGACAAATACTTACTAAGTTTAAAGTTTACAGTTTAAAGAAAACATTTTCTTAGTTGAGTACAGCAATTATTGTATTATATTATTATTAAGATAATATAAGAATATTTTAAATAAAATAAAAATTAAGTAATGATTGAAGTAAGAACTTCAATCATTATGAAAAAACAATCTTTACCACCTTAAATTGTAAGTAAAAAAAGTGAAGCAAAAAAATTAATAGAGTTTGGGCTTTGATTTAAATTTGGGCTTTAGCTGAAAATGGGTGTTTTTTTCCGAGATATTTGCTGTAAAAACGTAAAAAAAAAAAAAAAAAAATAGTAACAAAAATAAAAATGTTAATAAAAATTTGGACTGAGTGTTTGATCTAAACAAGACATCAGTTAAGAAATAAATAAGTAAATGTATATGTTTACCCACAGCTACTGTGTTTTGCTAGAGTAGTGGATAAAGTTATATTTTAATTTATTGGCAAATTTATTACAAAGACGACTCAGGTGTTTTATAAACCTATAAAAGTTATTGCACAAAAAAAAATAAACATGTCTGACACAAGTGGAGTCATAACTACAGTTCTTATCACAATAAGTGCAACTGGTTTTGCCCCAAAAATTTAAGCGCCAATGCATAAAAGGTTCTTTGTTAGACAATATACCTGGAACCATTGGTGGATAGTCAGTTAATTGTTGAATAATAACAGAATGTTTCACAACAGACTGTTTCAATTATTTGTTCAACATCTGGTTAAATATATTAAATGCAGGATATTCAACAAGGTTTTGCTAATATTAGATATAAAAGCCATACAAAAAATTTAATGTTAATTGATTTTGCGATGATAATGGTTTGATTAATTTATCAATTCTTTTGCATACAACACATAAACTAGAACCTCTGAATGTAAGTTTTTTTAATCCATTTTAATCTGCATTTGTTACAACTTGTTCATTATGGATACCAAATCATCAAGTAGTAGATACACCACAGATTACTTAGGGAAAATATTTTGTGATGCCTATATAAAAACTGATTTTTCTTATTTTGTAGTTGTAGTCTTTAAAAGTGCAGGTATTTGACCTCTAAATGCCAATATTATTTCTAAAAGTGAATTTGTTGCATACAATGCTGAACAAACTCAACTACAGGCGGGTGGTACTACATGAACACCTATTATTTGTTGCCGTAAAAAGCTTCATAACATTTGAAACCAATCATCACCAGTTATATTGTTAATTATTATTAATTATATATACACATAATTATTACAATGTACATTGGGTGGCCAAATTGTTAATGACACTACTTTTTTATTAATTTTAAAGTTTAAGCAACTTGAATGAATAAATATGTATCTTGTAGTTATTTTTTATTGATTTTATCATTAGAGGGCTTCATTTAGAATATAAAACAACATAATTGCTTCTTCATAGCTATTTATTTTTTAAGTTATAAAATAAAAAATAAGTTAATAATCCTAATATTTTGTAATGCAGCCCTTTTTTTACAATAACAGCTCTCAGACATCAGGGCATGCTTTCTATACAAACTTTTGTGTTGTCCTGACAACTGAGGTTGTTATGCCACTCTCTAATAAGGGTTTCTATCAATTGCTGCTTGATAGTGATGATCTCTTTGACAATTTCCTGTTTTGCGAACCCTTAAAGATTTTTTATGGGGTTCTTGTCAGGTGATTTTCCCGGCTAAGACAAAATAGGCACAATTTTTTCAGCTAAGAATGCTCTTAGCTTTAGTGCACAGTGCCAAGTCATGCATAACATATACTCTTCATTACCTGTGAACCATTCTTGGACATGAAGTAGGAGCCTGTTTTCCAGTACTTGCTTGTACTGGTCCTGCCTCATGGTTCCTTCCACAATGTAGAGGGAATCCATACCCATGGCTGAGCACAAACCACATCATTACACTCACAGGATGTTTAACTTTTTCCATTATGCGTTCCTATGGGAATTTTCTCCTGGGCGGCGTCAGACAAATGAGCTTTTGTCCACCAAGATTATGGTTTTGTCCAACAAGAAATATTGACTTGTCCGAGAAGCAGACCTGTAAAACATTACAAAGATTTTTTAAATTATAAAGCTATAATTTTTAAGGTTCTTACAATATTATAAGTCATATTTACTCTACTCCAGTGTTTAATAGTCATTTTCTAGCGTTTTCACATTCCCATTTCAGTCTTTTTTTTCATGGCTTCAGTTAAATGTGATTTTTTAATTGGATGACAACCCATTAAATTCTCTTCACCGATTGTCTCTTAACTGTCCTTTTGGAAAGATTGATTCCTTCATTGTTTATCATTGTAGCTAGTTTAGACACACTTTTTTTCTGTTTCTAAGACATGTCCCTGATTTTATGGTCACAGTGTGAAGTAGTGATCAAAAATATCACAATTTTACTAATCCACTCCTACATATACATTGTAGTACTACAAGCTATAACCTTTTTTTTTCAGCAATAACACCTTTTTTTTAAACAGTTGGAATTTTTTTATCTTCAAAACTTATTATAAAAATATAAACACCTATATAGGTGTTCATGTTCATAATATCAACTTCTTCATATGCTTGCACCTTTTTTTTAAAACACAGACACTGTTTTCCATAACAGTGTATTTTTTTTCACACACAAAAAAAAAGCTGTTAAAAGGCTATTCATGATGAGAATTTTTTACCATAAAAAGTGAATGTTATGTTTGTGGTGGAATGATGCCAGAAACAAAGATGATTAGTTTAGATGTAATATCTGTCGGTTTTATTCTAATAAAAATTGCTGCCAATTAGTTTTATCAAAGATATTTTTTAATTTATGTGATCCATAATATTTTTTGTGTTATCTTAGATTTATTAATATGGGTGTGTAGTTTATATATGAACATATTTTTTATTTATTATTATTATTTTTTTTTTTTGAGAGATTATTGTCTAAACATGTTTAAATAGTAGATAGCTTACATTTTTTAATTTTTAAAGCTATCAATGAATAACTTTTATACTGTTGCTTACAAAGTGTCTCGTTTTTCTCTACCTACTTGGGTAATTACGCATCAAATCACCCAAAATTTAGAAAATTTTGAACCATGGATCCTCAAATTTTTCAAAAACTTCTTTAGCTGTTACATGTTAAAAAGAAAAAGGGTCCAATATCTCAAAACAACCCTGCCAATTTTTTTTAATATTTATAATAAAATATTTTCAGCTGCTCATAATCTCACTAGGCACAAAAAATCTAACTGGAAAAACAGCTGAAATTTATATATAACTTTAATTTTAAAGATATGTTAAATTTTAAATAAGTTATTTAAAAAAAAGTAAAGTCTTAGACAAAGAAATAAGAGATTCTATTAAATTATTTTATGACTCAAGTAATTTATGTGGAGCTATGCCTGAAAAAAAGGATTATGTTAGCATTCAAAAAAAAAGTAAAATAAAAAGAAAAAAAGGAACTATATATATTATACAAAGAAAACGATCAAAAAATACAAATAAGTTACTCAAAAATTGCTTCACTTAGACCAAAGTGGTGCCAGGTGCAAGTGACACACACTTTGTGTTTATTCTTATCACCAAAATGCCATGTTGCTAGTGGATGCCTTAAATATTGGACTATAGTGTAAGGATTTACTTTAGGAAAGCTGTTTGCTCAGTAGAAAACATGCATGCTTGTACAGTGTGATAATTTTAATTTGTAAAGAACCTCACCAAATATTTGTATGAGATTTTTGGAGAATACAATCATGGTTTTGAGATACATTACAAGCAATTGCAAACTACTGATTGTGCAACACTAGTGAGTTTAACAGCAGATGTTCCAACGTTTGTTGAACTTTATAAAGCTGTAAAGCTCCAAACTGATTCTTTTATTGCTCGCTGTACCTTAAGCTACTAAAACAAAATATGGGTCAATCAAGCATTATCATTATTAGCGGTTTTGCTGAAAATTATGCTTTTGTAGTCCAAGATGAAATACAGAGTTATCATTGGAACACCCAACAGTGTTTTTTACATCCATTAGTGATATACTATAAAGACAAAAAAGGTGTACTGAAACATATTTCTTTCTGTTTTATATCAGACGTTACTCATGATGTAACTTATGTTTACAAAATATTCCAACTAATCATGCCAATATTAAAAAGAAAATTTTCCAATCTGTCCAAATTACATTTATTCACTGATGGTTGCGCAGGTCAGTACAAATTGTAAAAGCTTTTACAATCTATGCCAACTAGAGAGCAAATTTGCCCTTGAAGTTGAGTGGAACTTTTTTGCCTCGTCCTATGGATACTCAAAAAGGAGATGGGATTGACGTACTGTAAAAAGGTTAACAGCACAAAGAAGTTTAAAACGACCATACTGAAACCAAATTCTCACATTAAAAACTATGTATGAGTTTTGTATTGAGAAAATTAAGGTTGTTAACTTCGTTTACATAAAAATTAAGGTTGTTAACTTCGTTTACATAAAGGCATTGGACTTACAATTGCAACGGGAAGAGCAAAAAGAAAGGTACACTGGTGTAATACCTCTACTTGGTACTCGTAGCTTTTATCAATTTATACATTTTGGAGATAACAGGGCTGGGGCAAAGAGGTGTAGTACGGACACTAATTATACAATAATCCACAATCTTAAAAAGAAACAAGATATATTACAAGATAAAACTTGATACTGTCAATTTAGGAAGTTATGTTGCTGTAGTCTATGATGATAAGTGGTGGATCGACATTGTAACTGAAACCAACCTAGAAGAAGTTGATGATAAAGTCAAGTTTTTCCACCCAAAAGGTCCATCAATCTATTTTAATTGGACTTTAAGAGACGACTACTGTTTTATTCCCAGCATCAATATATTGAAAAAACTATCTGTACCACAACCTTGCTCTTGTTTTGGTAGAAAGTATGTGTTTGAAAATGCTAAAATAGAAAAAGTACAAGTTAAATGGCAACAATATTGTGAACTTTTACAAACACAGTCAAAATAACTTACATCTTCGACACCTTTAAAATATTCCTTTAATATTTCAGCGTTTTAAGTACATTTATTAAATTGAGCATCAAAAAATATATAAACAAAAAACATGTTTATTTTCATATTTTAAAATATACAAGAATATTTAAGTAACTTTTTAAATTACGATTAACTTATTTTTATTTTATTTACAAATATTTTTTAGGAATTTCTTGAAAAAGTGATATATTTTTGAAATTAAATTATATATGTTTCAGTTGTTTTTCAAGTTATATTTTTGTGCCTAATAAGATTATAAGCAGCTGAAACAATAAACAGCAAACAAACAAAAAAATTTGACGAGGGTGTTTTGAGATATTGGGCCTCAAAGTTGGTTTATAGAAACTAGTTGTTTTATTAACTTTTAAGCATGTTCTCTTAATATTTCAGCGTTTTAAGTACATTTATTGAATTAAGCATTAAAAAACATATAAACAAAAAACATTTTTATTTTCATATTTTTACCATTTTTATTTTTTATTTTTTTAAACGTTTTTTTAGAATTTATGAAAATAGGGTCATTTTGGGAAACCAGGTTTAAAATTAAAATCACAGTATCTTGTTAACCACTCAACATTTATAGCTGATATTTTTCATGTAATATTTTTTTATAATTAGGAATCATGTGTCAATTTATAACACAAAAAGAAGAGACGTTATTCAATGGACTGGGTGATTTGATGTGGAAATACCCTCTAGAGTTTCGTTACTTTTTTCGTAATATTTCAACCTTTTTTCTTTTTTTTGTTAAACGCATCTTTTTTTTTTATAAGGAAATTTTTTATGCAAAAAAAAATTTCCTTAAATAATATTAAAAAAAACGCATTAAACTACTTCAATGATGTCACTGAAAACTTTATTTAGTATTTTTGTTGTTAGTCAACTGATGACCTCATCAAAAGAGCGGATAAAATAAAAGAAACGATAATGTTTTTGGAAAATATGGACTTGAATGAAACAAATGCTTTTTTAAAAAATTTTGAAAGCAGTTTATGTAAAAATGGCGAACTGAACACTCCAAAATTGAAAAAAAAAAGAAAAAATTACCAAACTCAAACCAAGCTTAATTATTTAAGAGAAGATGAGCTGCAGATATCTGATTTAGTAAGTAGAAGATATGATAAGTACGATGAAAAAGTTTTGGATGACTAACCTGATTGCATTTTTGGTTGTGTTATAGATTTTTATTTAATTTGATTTTGTATTATATAATTTATTGAATAAAAATATTAAATATTTAGTAACTGTAGATATACCACCTTGTTTGTTTCCCTTTCTACCACCCCCCCCCCTCCTTCCTTGTTCACTTAAAAAGTAAAATAATTGTAAAAAGTGTTTTACTATATTTTTAAAAAATTTCTTTTTGCGATCATTCGCAAAAAGAAATTTTTGCGAATGATCGCAAAAATTTCTCTCATCTTGATGTCTAAATATAATAGTCAAATTCACGCCAGAAGTCCTGGGCCTGAATTTAGCAATTTGTAGAGGAGAAAAATAAAAAATCATGTTTAAAAACTTTTACTGCAAACAAAGCGGATCTTTGGGCTTTCGTTCATAAAAAGTAGCTTTACCCATATCCTAGATTTTTAAATAGTGAGATGAACGTGTTCTTCTACTTTTTGTTTTGATAACTACAATTTTATAAACGCAAATGGGAAACCAGCATGATTTTTCTGAAGAAGTTATTCAAAATGAATACAAAAACTTATCCAAACTGGTGAAATAAATCGTGGTTGTATTTGTACAGCTAATTGAAGTAATTTAAATGGAGTAATAGAAAAGAATATATAAACGTATAAATATAATAAAAGAATTAGCATACGAAAGCACAATCCAGAGCCTATTGGATAACTACAATCCTTGTTTAGTAGTTATACTTTCAAACAGCACAACAGTAGCAGACCATACAATTTTTTAATTATTGCTTGAGCATATACTACAGTACTTTGTACTAAGTACTTTGCACCTCCTTGTAAATTTTCTTCATATAAAAAACAGGCAAATAATGACGAACAAGAAAAAACTGTAAGAATTTTGGGGCAATTTGGGGTTAAAAAAAGAGTCAATTTTGACAGCACCATAATAAAAAAATATATATCGTTGGCTAGAAAATGTTATGCGGATAGTTATATAAAAACTATGACTTGAAAACAATTATTTTTTAAGTTATTTACGTTTGAAATATGTAAAAGCCTTTTAAATACTATATTTTTTTGTTTTTCAAAACATAATAACTTTTGTCTGTACGTAACTTTAAGTGGGAAAAAAAATGTGTAAAGAAATATATTCTTTTAAAATAACATTGAGACTTTATTGTAAATTTCTCTAAAATGTCGATGTCCGATATTTTACTTTTTTCAAAACAAATCAAATAAATTTCTCTCGTTTTCAATTTCATCACTTGAATCATATTCAATTTTAAAATCCTTTAATATTTAAAACAATCGAATCACAAAAACAACTAATATATTTTAAGAAAATTATGTGCGTATAATATAGTATATACTGTATATAGAAAAAATAAAATTTACTGTTTTATTACTGCAGTCTTGCCCGTGACAGCTACCGCATGCAGACATATCAAATCCGTTTTTCCTGCAAGAACACATATTAGTTCCACAAATATTTCTTGACAAAGTTTTACAATCACAGTGAATCACTTTTAACATATTGAGTGGTGCCACATCTTTGTCTCTTTGTCTAAATTATTTCAATGAAAATAAATGAAAAATTTTAAATTAGGCGTTCAGATAGCAACCACATTTTCCTTAACAAAGATTCTGTATTTCCACCAAAAAGTTCAATAAAAGCCTTTACTGTAGATTTTCCAACTTCTTTTTTGGTTGCCAGCAATCCGAAATAATTTCAGATACTGATTGTATACTAATCGATTTTTGAAGTAATTTTAAAAAACTAGGTTTTCTTTTTCCAGTCACATCCTGGCCATGCATGATCAAGTAACAAATGTTATTTAAAACCCCTTACTCGAGATTGAGCATCTTTTATACTCCATAGTTTTTTCTTGCTTTCATGATAACAAAAAATCCTCATTTAATTCATCTTTCCAATGATACATTCATACAAACTAAATTGGATTGACCATAGAGTTCTCCAAGAAAAAAATGATCACCATATATGTTCAACAAAATATGTTTAAATAATTTTCGTTTTAAAGGTTTTGTTGAGTAATACGGATAACCATTACTAAGTTATTTCATCTTAATGTGCAAATCGGAAGAGGTATAAAGTTCGCAGTCAGTTCTTTCCTCTAACGAGAGACAGTTTTTCAAAATTTTCAAACATAGTGTGATCTAATGGGCGTCCGCGTTTGTTATCACTTTTAGTTTTAAACCTGAAGTAGTTTAAAAACGAAATATGATAGATGGCTTCTTCCACTACAAGATCATAACAAGACATCAAACGAGAATGCACAGCATTTCCCCAATCTTCCTTTCTATTCGAAGAACGTTCAATCATTTTGTTAATCAATGGTATGGTCTCAGCTTTAGCAATCGGTGAATGTTTGTGGTTTACTTTTTTAGTGCAAAGAAAACATTTTGGTTTCCAATCAAAAACCTTTTCAAATGAAAATCATAGTTTTTTATAGGTACAGATAATGATTGATCATTAAGACAATCCACAAAGTTTTTTCTACAGCTATGAGGTCATCTATAAAGGACGTCACTTGAAGTTTAACTAATAGCAAGAAGTAGGAGAATGCTGGCTCTTGTACGTAGAGACTATAAGAGTAATATAGCGCCTAATGTTTAATGAAATTCTTCGCGGAAGGGATCCATCAAACTTCCACTTTTAATTAGTAATTATATTCTGAATGACGTCCTTTATGGACGACCCAATCGTCCATAAAGGACTAAAAAAGTTTGCTTCGTACGAAGCAAACTTTTTTAGTAACAAAGCTGAATTACTACATTCATACGAAAATGTTTCATTAAAAACAATTGTTATGAAAACAAAAGAAATGATTAAGTTTTTCGCAGTAAAAATTTATCTTTTGAAAACAAAAAATCTAACGATGTTTTGTTCGGCTTTTGACAATTTTACACTTTTCAAACGCGAATAACTTTGAAAAGAATTGTTTTCAAGTCATAATTTTTAAATAAATATTAATTAGCATAATATTTTCTATCTAACGATATATAAATTATGATATTTTCGTGCTATCAAAATTGGCCTATTTTTGCCCCAAAAGAGATGTTCCAGTAGCGCAATCCTTAATTAAGTCTTTTGATATAATTTTTCTGTCCAAGCACTGGCTCTCAAATGTCGAGCAATTTGTTTTATATGATCTATCAGTCGGAGCTGATAGATCATATAAAACGAATTGCTCGACATTTGAGAGCCAGTGCTCGGACAGAAAAATTATATCAAAAGACTTAATTAAGGATTGCGAATGAGTGAGTGTATAATTGCCGGCAATTTTCAGTCATTTCCTGAAAATATATATGATACGGAAGTTCGAAATAACCAAACACGTAACAAATTTTCTAGGATTTATCTAATTTTCTTGAAACAAACGAGCTTTCTTTTTTGGATATAATTAGTGGTACTGGTCCTACCTATACCTATAAGCATAAAACACTAAATAATTCGATCGATCACATAGCAGTCTTAAAAGAATCATCAATATGCTTTACAAACTGTAAAAGCATATTTTATTATTTCTCCTTCACATTTAAACATGAGTGACCATCTACCCATTGCTACATATATTAATCTTAAAAATAATAGTTTGACTCCAGTTATAAATAATATACTTAAAAAATACAATACAATCCCAAAGTATGCATGGAAGGATCACAACTTTGTTGAAATTTATAATCGGAACCTCTCTCAGTTCTTCGAAGATTACGCTTTTATTGGAGAAGCAATAGAAAAACAAACTCAAGCAACACGCGAAAAAATAAATAATGCTGCCACTTTAGCAATGGAAGAATGTTATCAAAAAAAAAGAATTTTACTCTAAATCGTGGTGGACACCAGAAGTTAAATTATGCAAAGACATTCTCTCTTTCCACTTTAAAAAATGGAAAAAATGTAACTATAACAGATCGCAGGAATCCATTTCATTTAATAAATACAAGCTAGCACGTAAAAGTTTTCGTAAAACAGTAAAAGCAGCTCATAGCCTAAAAATCAATAAAATTACCAAAAACATTGAATATCTTCGAAAAACTAATCCTCAAAAGTTTTGGAACAATATTCGAAAAATTTAATCTAGTCCGAACACTCGTATTATTACGATAAATAAGAAACAAGATGGAAAGGAAATTGTAGAAGAATTTCGACAAAACCTTAATACAATTCTCAACACTCCCACAATTACTAACAACAATTCCGAACACCGCAATATTCCCCAACTTATAGTTGAATCTAATAAAATACTCTTATCAACTTCCGACATTGAATTTTGTATTCGTAAGCTAAAGTCTAATAGATCATGTGACTCTTGTGGAATTACTGCAGAACATCTTAAATACTTTTCTAATAACAATCTCGTTACATGGCTTTCAAAGTTTTATAACAGTATCTTTAATAATGGAGCTGTGCCAGAGTACTTATCAACTTCCATAATTATCCCAATAGTAAAATCCTATAATAAATCTCTTATTAATTCAGATAACTATCGCGGTATTTGTATAACACCTATCTTGAAAAAACTCTTTGAATATATTATCATGCAAGTATGTCCGGAAATATCAGACAGCCACTCTCATCAATTTGGTTTCAAGCAAAATAACTCCATCCTGCATGCAGAGTTCCTATTGAGTGAGACATTAAGACATTATAATAATAATAACTTGCCAGTATATATCTGTATTTAAGATGCAAATAAGGCTTTTGATAGCTGTAACTGCCCTTACAAAAAAACCCAGCGAACTTCCAGTGAAAAAATGTTCCAAAACCCAGCGAACTTTCAGTGATCTTTTCCAGTGATCTCTAAAGTTCACTGGAAATTTCCAGCGAACTTGTTCCAAAACCCAGCGAACTTCCAGCGAACTTTTTCAGTGATCTTTAAAGATCACTGGAAGTTCGCTGGAAATTTCCAGCGAACTTGTTCCAAAACCCAGCGAACTTCCAGTGAACTTTTCTAGCGAATTTTCATGTTTATGTATAAAAATAGATTCGCTGGAAGTTTTTTTAAAAAGGATTTTTTATTTTTGCTATAAAAGTTTCAAAAGTTTATAAACATTTTAAAATTTTTTAACCAATAAACGCGAAATAAGAGAAGTTAAGCGCGATAAAAAAGTAATATATTTATTTTAAAATATCGAGTTTTATAAATTAAAATACAATGTAGGATTAGATTATCTTAGGTATAATTACAAATTCTTAGAAATAAACTTCAATACAGAATACAATTTTTAACAAGAAACTAAAAAGTTAATTTATTAATTAATGTAAAACATATTTTTTTATAGGCATAAGTAAACTTTATATTACGCATGTTTCTATATTTAAAAATTTTTTTCTCGTTAGCGTTCTCATACGACAAATTATCACAACGAAACAAAAAGAATTAAGAAATTCGTCAATTCATCTTTTGAAAACCACTTTAGGCATTCTTTTCGGTTTGGGTCTTTAGAGCTAAAAAAAAAAAAGAAAAAAAAAAGAAAGAATGCATACAATAAATAAAGAACATATATATATATATATATATATATATATATATATATATATATATATATATATATATTTAAACAATATTCAAAATGTATTCTACAAAATAGAGTGCTCAATGTTCTTAAAAGAACAGAGCAATTATAAATAAGTAGAAAATTGCTTTCAAAAGTTTCAAAAGTTTATAAACATTTTAAAATTTTTTAACCAATAAACGCGAAATAAGAGAAGTTAAGCGCGATAAAAAAGTAATATATTTATTTTAAAATATCGAGTTTTATAAATTAAAATACAATGTAGGATTAGATTATCTTAGGTATAATTACAAATTCTTAGAAATAAACTTCAATACAGAATACAATTTTTAACAAGAAACTAAAAAGTTAATTTATTAATTAATGTAAAACATATTTTTTTATAGGCATAAGTAAACTTTATATTACGCATGTTTCTATATTTAAAAATTTTTTTCTCGTTAGCGTTCTCATACGACAAATTATCACAACGAAACAAAAAGAATTAAGAAATTCGTCAATTCATCTTTTGAAAACCACTTTAGGCATTCTTTTCGGTTTGGGTCTTTAGAGCTAAAAAAAAAAAAGAAAAAAAAAAGAAAGAATGCATACAATAAATAAAGAACATATATATATATATATATATATATATATATATATATATATATATATATATATATATATATATATATATATATATATATATATATATATATATATATATATATATATATATATATATATTCTGGTAAATAAATTTAAAAACTGAAGACAATACAGAGAAAAAATTAATGGACAAATCTTGCAAAATGGACAAATCTATTTACAAAACTTGCTACAAATCAATTAAAAATTTTATTACAAATTATGACAAAATAAACCTCCTAATATTAAAATAACAATAATAATGTAGTAAGTTAGTTAGATAAATTTATATTTAGAATTTTCCCATTTAATATGAAGTGCTTCTTTTATTTTTAATTTGTTAATGGTAGAGGCAGTATCCAAAATCTAAAAGCAATCAAAATTGTATAATTATTAGTTAGTGTTTGTAAAACACTAACTAATAATTATATAAAACATAATATTCAAAATAAGACAAAATGTGAAATGATAAGCAAAAATAAAACAGTATAAGATAGATAAAAACATACCAACATATTTTCGCGCAATTAGAATCAATCATTTTTTATTAATTTATCAATTTCCAACCATTAGCATTTTATCACTTTTATCCTGCATATAAATAATAATTATATTTAAAATAATAAAAACTTAATTATATATATATATATATATATATATATATATATATATATATATATATATATATATATATATATATATATATATATATATAATCAATTATTATAATAACTAAATAATTATAATTTAAAAACCCAGCAAACTTTCACTGGAAGTTTTCTGGGTTTTTTTTTGTAAGGAACTTTACAAATTTAAACTAATTTTTTTTTTAATTTTCAACTGTTTAAATCAACAAAACAAAAAATCATACAGCTCTACTTTTCTGTACTGATATAGATATTTAAATCTGTAAAAAACATAATAGTCATTATAAAGCAAAACTTAAACCTGTATATTAGTGAAAAAGAAAAATATTGCAGTAAGTGTATCTTATAGGCAATATGATGCTTAAGCATGTTTTTTAGCCCATTTCAAAAAAGTCGAGAACCAAATGGCAGTAGTTACATTTTTTATTTCGAATAAGTGTACTTTGTTTACTTTCTCTGATAACTTATATCATCTAATTCAAATTGTATTTATTAGGATATTTTAGTATAATTTTAGATGGAAAAATTATGAAGTCAGTGGTCTGTTGGTTCTCTACTGACAAATTAGCATAACAAAACAAACAGAATTGCGAAAATTGACTTTAAAAGTATTTCCGTTTGGGTCTTTAAAGCTAAAAAAAAAAAGATGGTTTATACAATATTTAAAGGACATCAATAACAATTTTATAAAAACATATAATAAATACTGTATAAAATTTATATATATATATATATATATATATATATATATATATATATATATTTATATATATATATATATATATATATATATATATATATATATATATATATATATATATATATATATATACATACATACATAATATATATATATATATATATATATATATATATATATATATATATATATATATGTATATATATATATATATATATATAGAGAGAGAGAGAGAGAGAGAGAGAGAAAGATTTTAGTTTACTTAAATAAAAACTGCATTAAAATATAATACCTGCTTTAAAAAAAGCTCTATATATATATAACTGTTTTAAAATAACTCTTTAATACAAAACATATTTTCTTTACCATACAAATCAGAAAACTCATAAAAAAATCTATTAACTAATAATGTGGCTTCATTAATTACACTTTCAGATAATACATTATTGTTCAACGTAAAAACAATATTAGATTAAAGAGTAAAATGGTCAAAAAACTGAGGAGGCAAAACATCACATAAAATAACAGGACCATAAAAAACTAAAAAATTAAAAAAACTCAATACCTTTCCAATGCTTTATACAACTTAATGATCATCGAGTCTGTCTTATATTGCTTGGCACACTGATTGCAGATAAAAGATTATTTACAACAGTACAGTGTCTTCTAATAGAAAAAATATAACCAGAATAATAACTATCAAATCAGAAAGAAAACATAGCTTTCATAACACCAAGCTCAATACAGTGCAGATTATTAACAACTGTTCCATTTTCACTCTTAGGTACTCTTACAAATGTAGAAAAATCTAAAAACTCTTTAATCACATTAATCCAAAAAAAATCTGTATGGTTTCTACAACTCCCATTAACATCAGAAAATGGATAAGTCATACAAGACCTCCTACCTTTTTTTAACTCTTACCCCTTGAGAAGAACACCAATGGCAACCATTATAATCATTAAACTACCTACAACAAAAAACCATAGCTCCTGCAATTGTATCACACAAAAATATAGATACATGAAAAAAAAAACACGAACATTATTAGATAAGAGTATACCAGTAGTGGATAGGTTAGTAAAAAATCAACAAAACAAGATAAAAATAATTGCACGTTTAGTTTTTTAAAACTGGACCAGAAACCAAAAAACAAAATATTAGTAATTTGCAATGAATATGGAAAATTATGAATGGATGCTAGCAAAGGCCACAAGGTCCACTTTGATAATTTAAAAACAGGAATTCCATCAGTATTAACAACAAGTCTAATTGTTGCTTGCACATTTTCTTCAAGACTTGCTAAATGTATCCAATTGTTATCACACATGTTTTTATGCTGTTTGTTTATGTTTAAAATATGAAAATAACTGCATTTCTTATAAAGATAGGATAATGTAAAATATTTCAAACATTTTGTACATTGCTTATTAGTACTTAAAGCAACTTCACAAATATATATATATATATATATATATATATATATATATATATATATATATATATATATATATATATATATATATATATATATATATATATATATATATATATATATATATATATATATATATATATATATAAATTAGTAAAAACACTTATCTAATTTTTATTTTCTTTTACAGCTTGTTTCTCCATCAGTTGGATTATCAGAAAGATTCCTTCCTGATGATCCTACTGATGGAGAAACAAGCTGTAGAAGAAAATAAAAATTAGATAAGTGTTTTTACTAATTTATTATTGCTCTGTTCTTTAAGAACGTTGAGCACTCTATTTGTAGAATACACTAACATATTATATATATATATATATATATATATATATATATATATATATATATATATATATATATATATATATATATATATATATATATATACTAATTTATTATTGCTCTGTTCTTTAAGAACGTTGAGCACTCTATTTGTAGAATACACTAACATATTATATATATATATATATATATATATATATATATATATATATATATATATATATATATATATATATATATATATATACTAATTTATTATTGCTCTGTTCTTTAAGAACGTTGAGCACTCTATTTGTAGAATACACTAACATATTATATATATATATATATATATATATATATATATATATATATATATATATATATATATATATATATATATATATATATATATATATATATATATATATATATATATATATATATATATATATATATATACTGAGAGAGAGAGGGATATATATTATATATCCCTCTCATTCAGTGAGAGAGAGAAACAGATTGTTATTTATTATTTTTAATATAAAATACTTAATCATAAAGACATTTATAAAAATTATTTTTATAAAATAATAAAGTTGAATTTAATAAATAAAATGCATTCGCATAAAGCGAATGCATAATAAACAATACTTAAGAGAAATAAACATTTTGAGCAACATACCAGATGATTTTGTTTTGTAACTTGAGTAGAACTAATAATAATTGAAACTCACACTATAGATCATCTATTAGATGCAAAAAATAAAATAAAAAGGATTACTTTTATACAAAAATTTGAAATATTATTTTAAGAAGCTATATTATCAATTTTCCAAGTTTTAACTGCTTGCAGAAGTTGTAACAGCAACGCTTTTTACATCACCGCGAAATATTTCGCAAGAAACCCAGTAAACTTCCTGCGAACTTTAAGATCACTGGAAGTTTTCCAGCGAACTTCCAGCGAAGTCTTTTGTTTCCATGGAAATCCAGCGAAAACCCAGTGATCTTAGTAAATTTCCAGTGATCTTTTAATTTCCAGCGAACTTTCGCTGGAAGTTCGCTGGGTTTTTTTGTAAGGGTGGGATTTGCTGTTTGAGAAACTTTATTACAACAAAAACTTACCGCTATCAGTAGTTCGCGCACTACAACTATTATACCGCTCGGGTACAGCTAATATATCATACCTTGGACATAAAACAAATAATTTCCGCTTGTCTCAAGGTGTGCAACAAGGATCCATTTTATTGCCACATTTATACAACATTTATACTGAGAGTATATTAAATCAAATTGTTTCCGATTGTAAAGTTGGAACAACAGTAATAGATTTATACACTGGTATTATTGGTTATGCAGATGATATAGTCCTGCAAAGTCCTACTCCTTCTGGGCTACAAGAGTTGATTAATAAAGTTCAGACGCAATGTCAAAACCTCTATATCAAATTAAACACAGAAAAAACCGAGTTGATTATCTCCGGTAAAAGTTTAGTTACAAAAAACATAATACAAATCAACGGTTTTTTCCTGAAACTCAATAATAAACTGAAACACCTCGGATTCTTATAGGAAAATCAAAGCCATGGACAAAATATAGCTACAATCCAATCAGCAAATGTAAACGAAAGAATTATTCAATTTCAATCAATCTCCAGAGCTCTTATAAAATCCGGAAATCGTTTTTGTCAACCAGTAACTATAGTGCATTTGTTCAAATCTCTGGCTATACCAAATCTATCATATGGATTAGAAATTTGTGATTATAGCAATACTTTTCTTAATAAATTAGACGCTGTTGGAAAATCAGCATTAAAATTTCTCTTTATTATTTCAAAATACAGCAAAAATCTCCATTCCTACTTTAAAATCAATGACGTATCTACCATCCTCGTTCAAAACAAATTGAATCTGTTTATCAGATTACAGAGCAATCCGACTTGTCTTTCCTTGATTTTAACTCAAATATCTAATGTTAATAAGAAAAACTGCTTTATTTAAAAAATAATGAAAATTTGCAACCGCCTGGAACTAAGCTTCATGCAGTATTTGATTAAGGCGGAAAAAATCATTATCAAACGTCGTAACGATGACGTAGAAGATAATAAAGCAGAAATTTTAAACCAGTCCTTTGAGTTCTGGAACATCAGAGAGCAGAGAATGATATTCAAAAATTTAATGAAAGAAAGCATTCCAAGAAGAATCTAAATTAGAATTTTAACTTAGAGCATAAACTATTAGTTTTATGACCTCTGTATTTTTTACCTGTAATTTTGGGTGATGAAAAGAATAAATAAATAAATAAAAATCAACGTGGCTTTTTTTTACGCTCATCCAGAGACTGTCTACTTCCTCTATGCAAAGTTTCAGCTTTATACTATTTTTGTCCCGGTCAACTCGTAATTCTTTCCGAATGAAAGTGTTATCTGAAACAACAAAATCCAGTTGCGCTATTGGTACTATATTGTTTTTAAGGGTCAAATTACATTTAATATGCCTCCCATATAAAAAAATAAAAATGTTTTGAATTGTGAAACCATATAAATAAAACAAGTTCATACAAGTTACAATTTTTCTAACTTCTTCGGGAAGAAGCTTTCTATTTGCTTCGCAGCAAGCTGATCACTGAATCTGAGCTACACAGAAGTCTTCTTATTAAATTCAGATTTTGTTTTTTTCTAAAAACTTTAAGTGTAAATATTTCTCTAAAGCTTTTTACAATTTGTTTCGGCTTTCCTGTGCTTCTTCAGAAAGCATACCAATAGGTAAGATTGAAACTTGAAAAACTACCTGGTGAAATTGTATTAACAACTTGTGTAAACCCTGCGGCATATAATACCAGGGGTATAGATGAACAAAACTTTGAGCTGTCTCCTTGCAATACACTTCTAAAGCCTTAGGATTTACCTCTTCTGTACATGAGACAGTTCATAGTATGATGTACAAACGCTTGGTTAGTTCCTCGTTGATTATATTTCAGCAGAAACAAAATAATCCTGAAAATATTTTTATTTATAAATATTTTATAAATCATATATCGTTTTGCTTAAATTATAAAAATTATAAGAGATGGATTTTTTTATAAAAAAACATTTCCTGAAAAAACGTTTTGCCGTACTACCATCGTTAGATGTTCCAGATCTGCCAGATTTAGGAACATCCACTCCCAAACCAATCTTTTTCTTTAATCCTCGCTGAACTATTATTTTCTTCTCCTTCATCTCCCTCTAATGTGCCATTTCTCAAAACCTGTTCTGTATGAGATGTGGAAAAGACACTACATCTAATCCATATATGAAGAATAGATATTCCATAGGAAAAGCTAGATTTACTAAGTGCGTTGCTTTTCTCATAAATAGTATCTAGATTATTCATTTCATTTGGAGTTGCCCCACAAATAGAACAACAATGAGTTGAATCAGTTACATCACTGAGGGTTGCTGCTACTTTGCCATCCAAAATTGTAATTATAGTTGGTATTCAATAAAAATATTTTCAATAAGAGCTGAACAAGAGGCAACATAAGGCTGAAGCTCCTTTGATATGATTTAGCTCCTGAAGAAGAACATCTTTGTTCTCTTTAACATTTCTAAAAAGTATTGATCTGTACAAAGTTGATGAAGATTTCTCATTAACCCATAGATTTTCAGATTCTACATAGATTAGTTACAAAAAACATAATACAAATCAACGGTTTTTTCCTGAAACTTTTACCGGAGATAATGAACTCGGTTTGTTTAATTTGATATAGAGGTTTTGATATTCCGTTTGAACTTTATTAAGCAACTACAAACAGTTGAAGTGGTACGACGCAAGTCAGGAATAGACTTTCCTCAACAGAAGAATCTTCAAGGTACAATTTTCAGTTTTTTGTTTGTAAACAGATTGTTCTGTACTGCCATTAATTACAACTTTGCTGATTAATAAAAATTTAGAATTTTGAGGACAAGTATTGGGAATTTCCATTATCCTCTTTGTAGTATTATTTAATATATCTTGAAGTTCTACCTTTGTTGAGTAGTCCTCTACTTGTATTCCAGAGACAGGGATGCAGTACTCCTTTGCCTCTCGTACTGAGTTATATAATGGAGTTATATAAGGTATTGCAGTATCCTTTTTCTTTAGTTCCATTGCGCAATATTTGATAATTATTCTTGGATAGTTTGCCTTTTAATAACAGAGCAAGTGCTTCATTATTACTATAAAAACCACCCTGCTGTACTACTCTATTATCTTTACTACTGAGTATTTCCTGCAATACCTGTTTTAACCTTCCGTCCAT